GGAAGATATTTCCAGATTGTAAGCGAAGCAGAACAAATAGCACTCATATTTACATAATACATTTTATTCAACAGTTCAGTCTTTCATTTAATCTTTAAATTCCCTAGATACTCTGACTAGGGTAAGGCTGCATCTACTAGAATTTAACTTTTAGCCTTCATTTTAGTGTCAATGTTTAGGGAATCATACCATTTCTAAAGCACAGTTGAGGTTAGTTAGGCAGCAAACACAAAGTCATACAGGATGGGTGTCTCCCTCCATTCCCTTATCTCCTCTGTACACATAACCAGCACATTAATGGATAATATGCACTTCAGTTTTCAAGCCATTTGCTATTTTCTCACACACACTTCTTCATGACCAGAATATAAACCCATGCTTGCCTCCCGTCTAGACAGATATTGGGTAAAATAAAATGCTTAAAGATGTCTTTAATTCAAGGGCTTCCATTTTTAACATATCTGCATTCTTAATGGAGCTAATTTCTATCTCAGTATCCAGCCTGGGGGATTCACTGGGAGAAACCTACCAAGTGTAGCAAATGAAGGTATGAGTGAAAAATAACCAAGAAAACCCAGAGGCAAAAAGCTGGCTGACTAGAAATAGAAACAGTAAGAGAAACTGAACTGAGGCTATGAGAGATGAGCAGATATTTCCCATTGGATTAGATGACATCTCTGATTTTTTATTTTTAATGAGAGCCAGAGAGAGACAGACAAAAAGGGGGGGGAGAGGGACAGAGAGAGAGAGAGAGAGTATTTCTGACGGTCTTGCTGTCATGGCCCTCCTGCCCCAGCCTCCCAATTAGCAAGGATTACAGGTGCACGTGGCCATGCCTAACATGTTCAGGTTGGCTCAGGAACCAAACCTAGGACTCCCATGTGCTTTCTGACCTCTCAGGCATGCACTACCTGGGTGCTACTGCAGCTGGGCCTCTGGTTTATTTTAGGTGCTTGAAATATGCTGTATTTTAATTCATACTAATCTATTCCACAAATATTCCCACCTCAAGAAAAAAAAAATACTGTCAGTAACTAACCAGGTAACTTCAAGTCACATCACCCAAAATGTAAGATAAGACACATGGATGGTTTCTCTTTATCAATCCTACATAGAGATCCTCTTCAATTGAAAAAGGGGGGGGTCTTGTTGTATGGGTAAATTTTGCTAAAATAGGCAGGGCATTCTTACATGCCTGAATTGAGAACATTGATTTGTTTTCATCATGATGGTCTGATACTATTCCAGCCTTTGGTCACAATTTATTATCTAATTGATATGTACCTGGGCCTGTGCTAGATATAGAGATACAAAATGAACAAGATTCAATCTTCTGTACCTATCTCTCTGTCATTCATACATTCATTCATTTGACAAATATTTATCTAGTACCTAGTATGTGCCAGGGACTACTACAGGCACAGAGGATGTAACACTGAATAAAGAACAGAGATTGCTATCTCATAAAACTTGCGTTCTTGTTGGGGAGATAGCCAATAAACAAAATGAATAAGTAAATAATAAACATATCAGAGAGTGATACATGCTATGAAAAAACATAAATCAGAGAAAGGGCTTATGGTGGATTGTAGAAGTTTGCAATATAAAATCAGGTGGGGGAAGAAAAGAAGGCCTTCATGAGATGACATCATAGTGAAGACCTGAGGTGAGGGGGGACTATATGGGTATTCAGGAAGAGACTTCCAGGTAGTGCAATAGCAGAAGCAAATTCCCTGAGATCAAAATATGTCTTGTTTGTTCTAGGAATGACAAAGAAGCTGATGAGGTTAGACAGGCATGCAAAGGGGAGAAAGCAGCAGAAAGCGAGATTAGAGAACCAGTGAGTAAATTGTACAAGGTCTTACAGCCTTATAGGCTATTTTTAGGGCTTTGGCTTAAAACCAGAAGAGGCTATGAAGTTTTAGAGCAGAGGGGTGACACAAGTTGATTTGCATCTTGAAAAGCTCACTCCCACTGCTGTCTGGGAAGATTCTGGAGCAGGGAGCAGAAGCAGGGAGACAAGTTAGGCTATTCTAACAACCCACAAAAGAAATGATGGCAGCAACTCAGGTAGTAGCAAGGTGTTATGGATTGAATCATGTTTCTCCCTCCAAAGAAAAGTTCTAACTCTAGTACTTTAACTGGAAATAAGGTCTTTGGAAACGATCAAGTTAAGAGAAAGTCATTAGGGTGGGCCCTAATCCAGTATGACTGTGTGATATGGTTTGAATGTGTCCCCTCAGTGTACGTGTTGGAAACAATTCCCAATGTAACAGTTTACAGAGTGGAACGTTTACAAACTGGCTAAGTCATGAGGGCTCCACTCTCATGAATTAATTATTGTTGCTATCACAGGAGTGAATTATATGTCTTGGGGGTGGTTCAAAATAAAACAATGACCACACCCCCATCCCTTTCTCTCTTCCTCTTTGTATGCAGTATAATATCCTCTGTGCTTATTGTGCTTCCACCTCCTGTCAAAGGTTGACACTGCAAGAAAGCCCTTGCCAGATGCATACACCTTGACTTTGAACTTCATTCAGAACTGTAAGAATCAAATCTCTGTTCTTACAAACTACCCAGTCTCAAGTATCTGTTACAGCAGTACCAAATGAGCTAAGACAATATATAAGGAAAGAGAAATTTGACAAAGGGAGAGACACATACAAAGGGGAAGAGGATCTGAAGATGCAAGAACACCATTTACCACCCAAGAGATGATTGTGGCTATCAGAAGTGAGGAGAAAAGCCTGGAACAGATTCTCTCCCACAGACCCCAGAAAAAGTCAACCCTGTCAACACTTTGATCTGGGATTTCTAGACTTTGAACTGTGAGTCAATGTATTTCTGTTGTTCAAGTCAGTTTATGGTACTTTGCTCCTGCAGCTCTAGAGCATACCAACATACAGTGGAAATGGTGGGGAAGTGTGGGATTATGAATGCATATTTGGTCATTACCCACAGAATCCATATTTGCAAATTTGCCTACTTGGTAAAATTTATTTATAACCTCAAGATCGATACTCATGGTGCTTTCACAGACATTTGCAGACATGCTCAAGTAGGGAAGAGTCTGAATCACTTGATGCACATATTCCCAGCTGAAGCTGAAAAGACCATGCTCTACCTTCTTATTTCAGCTCTTGTACTATAAAAAGTGCCCTTTTCACGGTATATTTAGTACCATAGTTTCAGCATTTTTGTCCTCTTTCTTGGTGATTTTCCTGTGTGTGGTGGTCCCCATTCATTCTGCCAAAGTGTTGTCTAGAGTTTCTAAGTACAAGATGGTTATAATTGCCTCATGGAGAAAATACATGTAGATTAGCTTCTTTCAGGTATGAATCATAGCACTGTTGACTTTGCATTTAATGCTAATGAACCAACAAGATATACTAAATAAGGTGTCTTTTTACAGAAACACTCAGAAAACATGATACGTATTAGTCAGTTGGCAAAATGTTACCAGATGCTTCTAGAACTCAACTCTGTATTTCCTTATAGGACAGATGACTCAGTATTCATTATGTGTGGCAACTTTACAGGGAATAACTGGCATGAATAATATGACTAGACTGTATTTTGAAATTAGATTCAAGATATAACAGTATTTTCTGAAGGACTGGATATGAGGTCTGAGAAAATGAGAAAGTCTGAGAAAATAAGTTAAGCTTAAACTGTTTGACTTGATAAACCAGATATTTGGAGGTATTATATACTGAGATGGAAAAGACAATGCCCTTGAGGGCAGAGGTACTTGCAAATGGTTTTATGTAGCTAGGAATCAGAAATAGCTTGGTTCATCTCAATCATTTAAAACTTTTCAGTCTGAATAATGTATGTATGTATTTATTTACATTTATTTTTTCTTGTACTGTTTTTTAATTTGCTAGAGGGTACATGCACTCACTGGAGAGAGACAGAGAGAGAAAGTGAAAAAGCACCCCCTGTGGGTGATGTCCTTTCCACATTCCTTTTTTCTCCTTTTCTCCTTTTGGGATTTTGGGCATGCACACAAATGCACCTGCCATGTTTTTCAAGTTGCCGTTCTGGGTCTGGGACTCAAACCGCAGTCAGCCATGAGGGATACAGCTGCCTTAACCACTAAGTCACTAGCTAATCCTAAATAACTTGCTCAGTACATCTTCTTGACAAGACTTTTTTATTAGTAAGTAGACTTTTTTTAGTAAATGGTCAGATAGTAAATGTGTTAGATTTTGCAGGCCCTATGGTCTCTGCTGCAACTATTTAACTCTGCTGTTGTAGTGCGAAAGCCATCATAGACAATACACAAATGAGCTTGGCTGCATTCCACTAAAACTTTATTTATAAAATAAGCAGTGGGCCAGATTTGAGTCACAGGCCAGATTGGGCTTAGAGGCTATCATTTCTAGATCCCTATTTTATATGAGTAAGTTTCCAAACCATCCTTATTTGTATTTTTAAAAAATCAAAAGAAAAAAAAATAAAAGCAATCTCCATGAGCATAAAGACAAAAGGGTACAAAGTACTGGAATGGATAAAATGAAGGAAAATCACCAAGATTTTATTATTATTATTATTATTTTTCAGTTTGCTATAGGGAACATGTGCTTGCCATTAAGAGAGAAGGAGGGAAGAAAATGAGAAAGCACCTCGAAGGGAGGGTGGCTACACTGCAGTCTTTTCTCCCTTATTCACATCTTAGGATTTTAGGCATGCATATACACACACCTCATGTGTTTTTCAAGCCACTGGATCTCAGACTCAAACCACACAGTCAGCCACATGTGATCTAGTAGCTTTAGCCATCATGCCACTGACTGGCCTAAGATGATATTTTTAGCAATCTCTAAATAATGATTCTGAGCATAACTAGCATTGCTTTGTTTTATTAAGCACAATGAGATTTTACTATGTGATAAACACACATACTACATTGCAGTATGGTCATTGCTTTGGGAAGAAAGAGAAATGATTGGAAAACCATCATTATTAGAAACAGAGTACTTGCTTCAACTTACCAATCTTGTACCGCATTAAAGGATTCTTCATTTGTGATGTCGTACATTAAAATAAAACCCATGGCCCCTCGATAATAGGCTGTGGTGATAGTTCTGTATCTTTCCTGGCCTGCTGTATCCTAAAAAATAACAATGATAATATTTCAGACATAAGGCAATATGATTTTGGGGAAGTGATTAATAATTCCAAAAAGTCACAACAAAGAGTCTAAAACATACTTGCAATGTATAGCTATCTATATTTTTCAGTTTTGTTTTTCCTAATGATTTTCATATGGCAGCTATTTAATATTCTGAAAAATTCCTTCAAAGTGTCTTCTAGGTATGTTTACTACCATTAAACTGCATCTCACCTTAGAAAATGAAATAAAATAAAAAGAAAGATGATATATATCCAAAGTTTGTGACTTTCTGTATTATTTTATATTGTTTAACACCCCCAAAAGTATATTATGTGGACCAGCAGGTGGCATGGTGGTTAAGGTGCTGGACATTCCCACATGATGGCCTACCACGGTTCGAGTCCCAGACCTGGTGGCTTGCTTTCTCTCTTTCCTCCTGTGTGTGTGTCTGTTCCAATTGAAATAAATGAATGAATAAATAAAACTAAATAAATAATTCTTTTTAAAAAAGTATATTATGTATGATTGTCTCAGTACAAGTCACTGAAGGGGGGAAAAATTTATGAGAATGCCTCTCCTTTTGAGAAGATTGTAGTCCAGTCTTGGTTTATCAATTGTACAATGAGAATAAAAATTAAAATACCAGCTTTGTGTGGACATTTAGGTCAGATAGATTTTACCCAAAATAATCCAAATTTATCTGGATTTGAGTTTATGTTCTCCTGTTGGATAGCTGGAGAACCATGAATAAGTTCCCAACTTCTATAAACTGAAGTCCTCTAATAAGCATGCTCGTTAAGGTGACATGAAATCATTCGTGTAAAGTACTTTGTACTCAAAACAGTTAACAAATGTCTAGTGCTGGCTGTTCCTGAAATATGGGGAGACATATCTAGCACAAGACAGGAGATAACAGCTTAGACACATAGGACTGCAGTGCCTACAAAAGAGATGGCATGTTAACAGTTTAATCTCAGAACCAGAGGCAGCTGCATCACCAAAATAGCTCTGTCTACAACATACATGCTCCATACAGTAGCTGAAGAAATTGTTCCTCAACTCAACCAACTCTTGCCTGTTTGTCTTCTCTGGAGCTGCAGTATCACTTATCCAAATGCTCCTTGTTCTCTTTCCTAGTACTCATTAGATACTTAGCATTTTGGAAAGGAATGTTTCCTTCTATCCAATTGTGATCTGGATCTGTTTTATCCTAGTGATGCCTCCTTTGTATGCAGTGTGCATCCTTACGCCCCCTAAGATTTAACAGGCCTTGAAGGGAAAGCTATGTCCTGAATGACACAAGAACTATTGAGATGAAATTAAAATTTCAAAGGATCACAATTTGCTGTTCATCTCTCACAGTCCTCCTACTAGGATGCTTACACTCACCAAAGACAATAGTGAGAATGTCAAGGCTGCTTACAACTTTCTCCTAATGTGAATGACATATTCTATTTGACTCCAGCAACTTCAGAGAGGGGTGATCAAAGAAGGTTGGGGCCAGTGAATAAATTCAAGAGAATGTAAAGAATGAAATGGAACTGATAATTAGCTAAGGCTGTAACTTTTCATGAAACCAGTAACAATTAAAATCTACTCTTGGGGCAGAGATAAGGCTGGCCTGAGCAGAGGCTGTTTACTAGGTAGTATTATGGAAAACAAAGCTTTTAAAGGTATTAGAAAACTAGATTAGAATACCCAAAGTAGCAGAAATAAATAAAAACCAGAGAAGTCTTTCAAAACATATTGCCAATGGAAGAAAACAAAACAAAAAGGAAACTATAGATTGAACCACATAAAAATCTGAAGATTCTTTGAATATAGAAAAAAATGTATATGTAAAATTGAAATAATATAAAATCAAATGATAAGCTAAGAAAATATTTGCATTGTACCAGAGAGATCAAAGGTCAATGTCTTTAAGATATATAGCACTGTTAGAAATCACTAAGAAAAAGGCCTAGCAGATGCATAATGGTTACATTGCTGAACTCCCACATATTCAACTGTGTTTTGAGTGCTGGACTTGGTGGCTTAAAACTGATGCCAGATGCATGTGCGTGCATTCCCAAAATCCCTAGAGAAAAATGGAGGAAAAAGAATTGCAGCATGGCCACCCACTTTGGGTGGGAGGGGTGATTTCTTGCTTTCTGTCTCTCTGGCAAGTGCATGTACCTAATAGCAAAAATCTCTATTAAAAAAGAAAGAAAGAAAGAAAGAGAAATCACTAAGAAAAATGTCAAATATTTTAATTAGTGACATTATTTTTAAATAGGTACATAAATGGGTAATTAATTTGTAGAGTTGAATATCAGTCATTTCTATAAGAACGGAATGTAATCCTACATAATTGCATACTTATATAATAGAAGTTGCCTGGTAATTGTTTGAATTTTTAAATATACTTTGCCTACTATTTCATAAATATTTAAAGTGTTAGTGGTAGACTGTACACAGCTATCATAAAGCAGATATATCGGAACAAATATATAGATTTTTTAGGTACGTAGAAGTCAATATTGAGCTTATTTGGAGATTTTTAGATAGCTACTGGATTTAATTCAGTTAACAGGTATATTCAACTGTGAAACAAAGAAGAAAATTAGAGAACATGGATAGAATGCCCAAATCAATTCCCAAAGACTGTGTTTAAAAAGCAAATTATAGTCAGAGATTTTGTAATATCTTTTAGCTCTCCTGGGAGCTGAACCTCTTATAACTTATAAGTCAGTCTATTCTAATCTAAAACTTCCCTACATTTGGTTTGGAAATATTTTTATATTTTACAAAGCATATAAATGTAACTTACCTTTACTATTTTTTCCCCTTTTTACATTTTTCTTTCCTATTATGAATTAACTTAAAACAACTTTCTTTTTCTCTTGGCAAAATATCTTTTTGGCATTGATTGAAGAGCATTCTTACAGATCGGGATCTCATGCTCGCTGCCTTCTCTGTACAATAGATAGTGTTCTCCTAATTTCTCAATAGAGGAAAAGAGCCAGTATAGCCCAGAACATTGCTAAAAGGTGACCCAGACCCTTCCTGTCAAAAATATTTTCAACACAGACACTGAATAATGTTGCGTTAGAACACTGTGACTTTCTTTTTCTTCTTGACCTGCTGCAATGATGGCATCCCCCTTTCACAAGATGTTAATTTTATTTTGACAGTAAAGAAACTAGTTTTAGTGTTATAAAATGCATCAATTTCATATTGTGGGTGTATTTAATCTTTGAGAGAGCAGAAATCAAGGGTGTATTATATTATGCTTGAAATGTTTTAGGAAACTGCTATAAACCACAGAGTTGCATGGCCATTATACATCAAAATTTAAAAATAGGGAGGGGGGAAGAAAAAAAGTAGAAGCTTTCAGATAGTACCTAAGTTATAGTTAGCAGCAGGAGCTTTAATAATTTTTGATTTGGACTCAGAAATACAGTCTAATTGGAGGTATTTGGTATTTACAAGTTCTCAGAGAGTATTTAAAAATTATAACAAGTGGGAAAAGTACAGTAAGGAAAACCAAAGAGAAAGTTCTTTTCCAAATGTGAAGAAAATAAAAAGTAAATATAAAAAGTAAAAACTAAGCTATTAAATACTAAGTTGATTCTGTATTGGTTTGGGGTTAAAAACAATTTCAGGGGTTAGCCCTATAACCTAGTAGTTAAAGAAGACAGATCCCACATGGCCAACCAAAATTTAAGTCCTGGTTTCAGCAGCTTGAAACATATGCCAGATATGTGTGTGTGTGTGTGTGTGTGTGTGTGTGTGTGTGTTTATACACACCCCAAATTCTGACAAGTTGAAGAAATGGGAAAGGGGATTGTGACATGACCATGCAACACTGTGGAGTGCTTTCTCCTTCTGATTCTTTCTGTCTCTACCAAGTACACATGTGCTCTGGCAATTAAAAAAACTTCAGAATTACAAACTCACTAGCATTTTCTTTTATTCTATCAGAAAGAAAACGAAGTCAGAAAAACACTTCATTATATTTGACATTTACTAATGATAATAGAAGGTTATATTAGAGAGAAAAGAACATTTATAATGTCAAGTGCCACTAATGTAATTAAACATGAACAGTCTCAGAAGGTAGCTGACTGAAATGTTACTTCTTCTCAGTTTGCCCAAGAACAGGCATCAAACCATGGCTTTGAGTTGTTCCTCTCTCCGGTTGACTCTAATAAATAGGAATGCCTGCTGACTTTCTATAGCAGGTTTCTGGTGATTGAAAACCCAACTGGAAACTTCTTACAAGGGAATGAGGAATAAAAATGTGATTAAAAGATAAAAACATTCTTCCATGAATGGTAACTTTTGTTTTCCTTATTTTTTTTAAGTTTTAGTTAATTTAAACATTTGAACTTCCCAATCATGATTTTAGAAAAATAATTTGGCTTTAATGGTAGGTTTGATTAACAAATACTTAAATATTTTTCAAAGGAGATTTTTGCTATAGGTTATGTCCACTCACCAGAGAGACTGGGAGACAGAAAGCAAGAAACCCCCCTCCCCAGGAGGGATGGCCACACTGCAATCCCTTCTCCATTTTCCTGTAGGATTTTGGGCACACATGCACATACACCTGAAGTGACTTTTAAGTTGCTGGGTCTGGGACTTGAACCATAGTCAACTACGCGGGAGTCCAGCGATATAACCATTACACCATCTGCTGGCCCCTCCCCTCCTTTTTTAAAAAAAAAATCCTGTAGAACAAGAAACATGAAACAGCTGGATAAACAGTAGTTAAGAACAAGGCCAGCTTAAATTTTAGCAGTCTTGCTTTTGTTTTTGTCTTACATTTTTTTTCCTTAATGAATCATTTTTTTTAACTCCAAGTATTATATCCTCAAACCCTTCTGATATCATTCAGAAATAATACATATGTATTTTTGTGATTGAGGAAATAGCTTTCTCTTGTAAAATACAAGTTACATTGTAATTTATTTTTTGTTTTGATAGTTACTTCTCTCTGTATTGAATTAAAGGGA